GTAGGTATTTTCGAGTAAACCCAGAATCGAAAAATATGAAATTTGCCCCAAACACCCCCAAAATGAGGATTTACCGTTAGAAACCGATTATTCGTACCTTTGCGCACTTATAGGCCTGTGGCTTAGTACATTATGAACGTAGTTTCGGTTTATTGCCGGGTTTAAAAAGAAGAAACTAGGGCCTTTCGAACGATTTTTTTTTTTTTAACTTTTTTCACCTTTTTTTCAATTTTGGTGAGCTTTTTACGCACTATTTTAAAGAAAATCATACTAAGTCATAAATTGATTGTAAAACCAAATTTAATAGCGAAAAACTTGTGTTTATTTTCATAAATCTTTTGAAAGTTTACTGAGTTATTAAACTTTTTATAAAAACGAAATTTTTGCAAACATATTATTTTGGACTATACTACTCAAAAATGTTTTCTTGACCGTTTGTTTTTGTAATCTAGCATCATCAGTTTCTCCATGTAGAATATTCTGAAATCATTTTTATACCCAAGCGCACTTGTGCACAAGGGTATTATAACTTTGCTCACATAACGGTTGTTTGTAAGAGTCAAAGCGAATCGAGATAGATATAGCCAAGTGTATACATAAATGATCATAATGAAATAATAAATCGATTAAGCGGTGACTGTCTGCCCGTCCGTCTGTGTACACGATAACACGAATAAAAATTGAGATATCCGAACGACACTTGGTATGTGTTCCTCTTTTCAGCGTAGGACGAATGGTATGGAAAATGAGCAAAATCGGACAGAAGCCACGCCTGCGTCCCATATAACGGTAGTTTTCAGAAACACGAAAACTGAGATATTTTTGTAACTACTGATGCTTATTGATATTTACAATGATTTTTTAGACGAAAAATAATATTATAAATTTTTGGAAAATGGGCGTAGCCACGCCCACTTAGAGTACATCTGTATATATCTGTAACAGCTCCACCAATTTCCCCCAAACTTGACACGGTTGTTGATCCCATTATTACTCTTATTTTATTTTTTCCTCTGAAACGTTTTTTAATTGTAGCTATTTCTTGGTGAAAGTATTCGCCTTGTTCATCACTGAACTTGCCCAAATTATGTGGGAAGAAGTCCAAATGCAAATGAAGGTAGGGTGACCAGATGAGCCGAACGAAAAAAAATCACCACATTTTTGAAAGTTAGCACAATCACTTATTTCCATCAGACTTGAGTTTAGAAATGATTGTTTTTACGCTCAATGGTAAGAATTGAGAGTTCTCAGTTGAGAGTTGTGGGATGTAGGCAAGTGCAAGAGACGCTGTGAAAATCTTTTTAAAGGTCGCCGGTAAAAGCTCAACACCTTTAAGTACAATAATAAAATTATAGTTTAAAAAAGTAAAACCTCCCTATTATAATTGCCATTCGTACTGTCATCAGGTATGTAACTTGAGAATAGAAATCGCTGCATTTTTTAGGCGCATCAATATTACATAGTTACATCCCGAGCTAATAAAGGGATAGATAGGATGCTAAGGATGAAACTCAATAGCATATCTTATGGCATCTACATTCGCCACAGTTCTGGCAACAAACCAGTTGTACTTTGACACAGGGGATCTCTATTTATGTGTTAGTGACAATCGAAAAATTTTTTACGTGTATTGAAGTTTCGGTCATTCGAGTTTTGCAGGGATGTTATTATGTGAACGATGCACAAAAAAGGGCCTAACGATATGTTTACGCAGATCACTTTAATTCGGCCCTGAAATCAGGACGTCTGGTCACCCTAAATGAAGGCAATGCACTTTCATCCGATTTTTGAAAATAAACACTCGTTTTACTCGCTATTAACTTTAGAACTAGTATGATTTTTTTTATATTAAAGTCTGTAAAAACCTCACCAAAATTGAAAAAATGCGAAAAAAAAGTAAAAAAAAAAATAGGGGTATTCTCCAAATCTTGCAAAGCCATTGCACGTAGCACGGATTGCATGGATTGCATAACTTGCAAACACACAACAACAAAATACATGGGAAACGACATTTCCTATCGCTGCAAAATATGCAACGTCGAAACCCATGTATATATTTTGCAAAATTGCATAGCAAGATATATGCGACCCTGTGCTAGTTGTTTTGTTGTTGGAATTGCTACATATTTCTCTCATTCCTCTCATCTCGCTCACTTCATTTTTTTCTGCTGTCTCTTGTTATTGTATTTGATACATAATTTCGCTGCTTGCTACCCATGCATTCTACCACTTTGCAATGGGGTGCTCTCGTACTCTTCGAAATTTGGGATAGTATTTTTGCATTTCGTGCAATACGTGCATCGTGCAATACTTCGAGAATACCCCTAATGTGTTTTATGAGTAAATACACACAGATCTGTTAAGGTTTCTTTATTCATATATCGTTCGAAAGGCTCAAGTTTCTTCTTTTTAAACCCGGCTATAAACCGAAACTCGGTTCATAGTGAACTAAGCGTGCAGTACGAAAACCCGGTTTTTAACGTTAACTCAAGATTTTGGAGGTGTTGGGCAAATTTCCTATTTCGATTATTGTTTTACTGGGAAAAGACCTACCAGAAAATATACAAACCTCCCAGGCATATTGTAGTGTCGCACAGTGTAATCTAAGTTCCACCGCAAAAACTGTTAATTTTTAAATGTTCGTTTTGCTTGTGTCACTTGTTTTCAACATTAATAAAAGGCAATTTTTAGTTCTTTATAATCAATCATTTAACTAAGATGAGAGCCATATGCGCTAACACATTAAATGTTGTTCATCCGCATTCTAAGAAAATTCGTAGACAATTTGGGTTTAATGCAAATTAATTAGGTATTAAATCAAAATAAAAAGCTAACATTCCGATGCGTTATAACTAGGTATCGCAAATAATAATTATTTAGAAAAAATCATACTAGAGGTATTCTCGAAGTCTTGCACGTTACTCGGATTGCATGAAATG